CTTATATGCATATATGCATAACCCATGGACACAGACAATAGTGTGGTGAAGGCCTGGGGGGAGGGGTGCAGGAGGGAGGGGAAAAAAGAGAACATTGTAATACTTCCAATAATAAAGATAAATTAAAACATTAAAAAAAACAAAGAAAGACAGGAGTAGGTTTAGCCCTGAAAAACCCAAGTGAGATCTGGAGCTTAAAGTCTTCTAAGTAGAGCCAAAATTAGAAGGTGTTCTCAGCACAACATTGAAGACGACCCTAGTCTTACCTGAACTATCAGGGAAACCATCACGAGACTCCTATGTTAGTAAGAGAACTTCAGTGACAGAACTCATAAAGATTTTAGGTTGGAGATTGTACCAACTCTTTGGGAAAGTGAAAAGCTTTCAGGGCTGCGGTAATTTTTAGGTCGATGCCAGGTACTAAAACTTCTTGGGAGTCAGGGTCTTAGAAGATCATTCTCAAAGTTAGCCTTAGTCTGAAAGGTTACTACCAAATATCCTTCAGATAAGAACGAGAAAGAGGATAGAGTGACTGAGATGATAAAAGGAAATAAAAATAAGTGGGAATAACCAGAGGCCAACAGAATAATAAGGCATGAAACAGCAATATGTACATTTCTCTGAAAACTAATCCATTTCAAATAATTTTTATATTAGCTTTGTATCTTATCTTCTCAATAATGCATATACCAAGTCTATAATAATACTAAATGATAATTTAAAAAGCAAAGTATTTCTTTACAGCATATTGATTAGACTACATAATGTTGCACAAATCATAAGGCCTTTTTAAAAGAACTGTTATACATATTTGATGTTGTTGTCAACAGAGAGAACATTAAGGTTCCTTCTCCCCATTAAGATTGGAACAGAGGACCTCTGGGATACAATTAATAGTTTGTTAGTGAAAAACAATCCTCCTAGTAGTTATTTATGTCTTGCAGGCTTTAGTGAACTCTGGGCTTTCTTATTCCAGTAGGTAAACATCCAGCAATGAGAATTCAAGATTCAATACAAACTGACCTTCAACCAATCAGCCATGACAATAACAGAAGGATCTGTGATTGAACTAAGTAACTCCTTTGTGGCTCTTTTCTTTTCTTCTCGGTAATTTTTCTTTTGCACCTATTTTACAAAAAATAATAGAAAAATTAAAAATTCATTAGAAATGGATAATTTCTTTTCTAAATTTTTAGGTCTATAGAATGTAGAGTATAAAATTTTAACCCCCTTTCAGAATTCTAGCATCTTAGGATAAAAGAGCTATTTTTTCTGTTTTTTGTTTGGTTTTGTTTCTTAAGAACTTGTAGAAATTTTTAGAGAAGGTTAGAATCTAAGTTTTTCTAATCAACCTAGTCCAGTTCTCTGTATCTTTTTAAAGAATTTTACCCTTTTAAAATTATATATGTAATAATACATAAATACAATCTCATGGTAAAAATTTTAGACAACACAAATAAAGCTAAAAAACCACCTTTATTATACCCTATCCTATTCCAATCCATAGACTTGACCACTGTTAACCATTTTGAAAACACTATCCTTTCAGGCCTTTTCTATGTATACAACCTATACAAATATATAGCTTTTGCATTTGTTTTTAAGTTTTAAACACATTAAAAAACTGTTCTCCCATTCATTATTTTTTTAAGCATTTCCATGTTCACCTAATTTTTTTCACTCTTACACAGAATTCCTAGTATAAATAATAAGAGCCAACATTTACTGGGTACATTCTGTGTACTAGTCACAGTTCTAAGTACTTTACATGTATTACCTCATTTAATCTTTACAATAACCTTGGAAAGTAGGACCATTAGAATCCTTATTCTACAAAAGAGAAAACAGGCACAGAGTAACTTGCACAAGATCACACAACTAGTAAGTCATGGAGGCAGGATTCAAACAGAGGCAAACTGGCTCTAAAAGACATGCTCTTAACCACCATGCTATGTTGCTTCTGAAATTTTTCTTAATATATTCTCATACTGATGGAAAACTACTCTGTTAGCAGTTTTTTCATATTATGAACTGGAAATTTTGCTCTTTCCTAACACTACTATGTAAAATATAAATAATTAAGTCAGTTTTGAGATAACCTGGGAAAGTAGCAGTGAATTAATGTAGTCTTATTATTGCTTTGTTGTTATTACATGTATGGGAGAAGAGCAGTGGTAACCTATCAGTGATATGTATTTTTTTTAACTATAACAAAATCTTCCTAGTTTCACTTAAAGGTAAAGAGACTGCATACAAATACCAAAATTTAAATAATTCTACAGCCCCAAAACTTAGACTTTTGGTCTTTATTATCATGCATATCTGAATTAAGAGTAGATTTAATATCAAATTGCAAATACAAATGAATACAAGATCAAATATGGAGGGGAAAAAAGAGGTAAGAGACTACACAGGGATCAGTCAATTGAAAAAGCATGTGTTCCTTAGGCTCCAAGATCTGTGGCCATCTGGAGGCAGGCACCATATTGCACAATTCTTAAGAGAAGTGGAAATCTGAACTTGTAATTGTTGAATTTTTTTTTAATCTTCACCCGAGGATATTTTTTCCACTGCTTTTCAGAGAGAGTGGAAGGGAGAGCGAGAGAGAGACAGAGGGAAGGAGAGAGAGAGAGAAAAACTTGATGTGAGAGAGACAAATCAATCAGTTGCCTCCTGCATGAACCCTGACAGGGGCCAGGGATTGAGCCTGCAACTGAGGCCACATGCCCAGAATCGAACCTGGGACCCTTCATACCGAGGGCTAACGCTCTAACCACTGAGACAAACTGGCAAGGGCTAATTGTTGAATTTTAAAAACACTGTGTAGGTCAAACAAAATACAGCAGGTCCTCAAATAATGTCGTTTTGCTCAACGTTGTTTCGTTATAACAGTGATGAGATACTGCAGGAACTTAACTCTTGTTTATATTAATTGGCCTATGGTAAAACTGGCCTATGGTAAAATCATACATAATTTCACCACAGTTCCAAGTGATGAGATACTGCAGGAACTTAACTCTTGTTTATACCTATTAGCCTATAGTAAAATTAGCCTATAGTAAAATCAAACATCATTTCATCACAGTTCCGAGAATCTACTGACAATGTTAAATGAGGACTTTTTGTATATTTACCCATGGGCCTAATTCAGCCCAGGACCTAGCAGTTTGAGTTTCAAGGGGCACTAGGGCTTCTCATCAGGTGTCCCACAGCACAGTGACGTGCCTGACTGGGCACAGCTCTGCAGAATTATCTAGTCCTGGGCCCCAGCAGTGACCAGGTGAGGCCTGAAAGAGCTCTAGCAGAGTCATTATGTAGCCTCTTCCGTTGACTCCAGAACATCATACAAATATTGACATTTTTTTATGTGTGCCTGTCTGATTTTCTTCTTTCAGGAAGACATATTTATTTCTTTATCTTATTAGCCTACTTTCAAAAGCACATGCAAAGCATAATATAAGTCATGAAATGACTGTGGAAACTAACCTTGAGAGATTCTTTTTTTGTGAGCTTGCTTGAAGCTGTACTGTCCTTCTCCGAGCCATTATAAAGTTTAGATTCAGACTGAAATCACATAGAAATGAACAAAAAAATAATTAAAACCTTCATTTATTCTACACATATGGCATAAAAATAATAATGTTCAAGCTATGCTTGTGACATTCTTCCCATTTATTGCTGTGATTTAGGAAGATGTTGATTTTCAACTGATTTTCCATCAGTATAGTATTTGGAATTAAAAACTGATCCATGTTAAGGGGATAAAGTATAATGAAGAAAAACAAACAAATGAACAAAAAAATAATCCACATTAAACCCACAAAACCAAAAAAGTAAAAACTAATCAATAAATTAATCTACAATGTGAAGTTTCTATTTCCCACAGCTTAATAGGAAAATTTATAATATAATATACTTCTTAGATACTATTAAGTGACAAATACTAATAGTATTAGCTTAAAAGTTAATGAAAATTAATGGCTGTTTACTCTTTACCAGGTGCTATGCTAAAACACTTTATGTGCACTACCTCATTTAATCCTTACAGCAACCCCATGAGACACAAGTAGTAACCCCCTTTTGCTAATAAGGAAATTAAGACCAAGAGATTAACTAACTTCCTAAAGTCACACACAGTCAGTAGATAAGCTGGGATTTGTACTCTAGCTAATTCCCAGTCTCCTGCTTTTATCGATCTCACTATATTGATTTCTCACCTTTAAAACTGTTCATATATAATCTCAGTCAGACTCAAATTTATGACTTATCTTCATGAACAATAGGAAATCTGTTTCCTAGACATGACAAGATCTGGATTGGTAATTCCTAAAAGATTCCAGTACAGGCCAGAAGGGTGTCATATGAGCTTGATAAATTATAACACATATACTTCAAGAAATCCTTGCCATATTATATAGCTAGTTCTGAAAAAAATATCCAGTAACCAAGATTTCTATAGTCTTTTTAAATACATTACTAAGTTTTCAGAACGAACAGGTTACCTTTTAAATACCAAAAATCATAAACTCTATTTGTTGGAAATATTTTACAAAGCTTTCCTCTTTTAAAACCTTACTGACCACTATCTTAATGATGAGAGTCAAGATTCAAACTCACTTTTTTGTCTTCAAAGCAATGTTATCCAGTAGAGCTTTCTGAATGACAGAAATATTCTATATCTGAGCTGTCCAAATATGGTAGCCACTAGTCATATGTGGCTATCGAGCACTTGGGATGTGGCTAATGTAACTGAGAAACTGACTTTCTAATTTAATTCTAATTATTTTAAATTTAAACGTTCATGTATGACTAGGTGCTATTATACTCAAAGAACAGTTCCAAAGCATAATGTTTCATTAAGGTATGTAAACTTTTATTTTTAGGCTCCCTGCCCCATCCCCATAAACTCCCCCCAACAATCTCAACCATTTATAGACTACATATAGTGGCTGCGATATGTAGGTCTGGGGTTTAAGTGTTTAGGCTTCTGAGTAGGAAGGAATACCATTATACCACACATTCACCAATTCTGGTATTAACTGCTTAAAAACAAACTTTTAAAATTCTACAAATTGCATTGTATTTCTAGCCATGGCAGACCCAAAATAATTATTTCCTCTTTAATTTTCTTTAATCACACATTTTGTATAAAAGTGATCAAGGCATTTCTCATGTACATGTTATCTACATATAAACTACTATTAAACTTCCATCCTAAGTACTTTTATACATGATAGATGGACCTTTATGTAATGAATTCCTGAAAAGCTAAGTGCAAATAAAATTTGTGTAAGATTATACATTAAAACATATCATGGAATCTTCTCAACTGCTCCCAAGAAGAGGAATAAAAAATATAGACTTTTTAAAGCAAAGCCTATCGCTGAGAATAGCAGAGAATTTACTAGTTTAAGAAATAGGTTTTCTTACTTCACATCTTTGAAGTTTGATTCCACAAACATAAAAAGTTTCTCCTGCTATTAAAATTGACCAGAAGTAACAGTCAGAAGTCAAATCCCTTGACATGTTATGGAAACCTAGTGAATTATAAACCCATAGGAAAACCAAGGCATCATATAGTGTTTCTCAATGTGTTTCTCAAGCATGGCTTATCCTGAGAATTTCTCCAAATGTAACTCTCAGACTTCAGTTTGAGAAGTACTGTTGTAGCAACCGTACCAGAAATTATAATTCCAGAAAGGATAGTGGTTATCAATAGGCTATATTTGTTAGTAAACAAGAACACTATATCAACCCCAGTGAGACTTCCGTTTTTTCATACATACTGCATAGTTTAGATATACCAACCTAAGAACATCTCATAAGATTTGATAGTTCCCTCATCTTAAATATTAGAAAAATGTTGTAATCATGTATTTGGGGACAACAATATGCTTACCTTGCTCTTTGACATAGAAAGTGAAGAATCATCTTTATTTTGAAGAATGTCTTCCCTTCCTCTTTCAAAACCTTTAAAAACATTGTAATTACATCAGTATTGCTACTTTTGAGCATATACAGGCATTTAAAAGCATATAGAGGCATTAAAAAGCAAATGCAGGTAAGTCATTCAATTTCAAATATATATTTGATGTACATCAGTACAAGAAGCTTAGACTGAACATACAGTTTTAAACTATTATAAGTTTAAGGATTTTTAGTATAATAATTCTTTAGAATAAATTAAGGATTTCAGAGGCAATGAAGTCTTTCCTTGAACCCACCAACATCAAGCAAAATACCTCTTTTCTCTGTTCCTAGAGCACTTTGCATGAATTCAGGCTTCATGCAGCTTTTATTCTTCTAGTGAGCTGTTTCCTAACAAAGAATCCCAATAAAACCAATCTAACATACTTTTCATACCTCTTGCCAAATTGGAAAACAATTCCAGAACTGGTGATAAAAGATGACCAAGGCAATAAGTCTGGATTGAGGCTTAAACAAATCTAACAATGTGCTTATTGTGAGAATTAAATGAGAATGCACAGCAAGCACTTAGCACAGTGCTCTGTGCCAGAGTACACATTCAATTGTACTGGCCCTTACTGTCACTGTCACTGACCACTGCTATATAAATTCTAAAAGGATAAATCTGAAATGCATGCATGCACTGGGATAAACACGTGTGCATCGCTGCAATCCTGTGGCACATTAATATAACACTATGCCAAAAGCAGTTAAAAATTAATGTTATAAGGGTATAATTAGAGATCTGTTAATACTAAGATTTATGTGGCAGGCATGAAGGAGCAGTACTCATTTTAATGAAGTTCTTTCTACTTTTAAGGGCAAGTAATATTAACTCTAAAATTATTTGTTCTGAGTACAATAAAAGCCTATATTAAAAATATGTATATAATTATTCATAGCCCAGCACTTAAAAAATCATTTCTAGCATTTCAACAATTCCATTTATTCTGTGTTTGGTTTATATCACCTAAAAATAAATCCACTCCATTTTCCTAATTCAGAAATTTTATTGCATTTTTCCTGTAATATAAAGAAGGAACCTACCCCCTCCATCCTCCCAGCACCCCACCCCTGATAAAGAGAATGATTACTCAACCCCAATCCTGGGGGTGGGGGACACACACACACGACGGACCTGTTTCATAAATGCAACATGGAATTTTAAATGAAAATTTACCAGAATTTGAATCTTTGGTGTAAGGCAAACCAGTTATATAATTAAATTAAAAAATTCTAAAATATTTATTCAGAGTGATAAATATTTGTAAATAAGTAATTCTCAATACTAATAAACTAATATAGAGTACTTCAAAGGTCATCTAAATATATGTGTGAGAGCAGACAGATTACCTAAAAGTATGTATTGTAAATTTAAAAATGATGTCTTCTTTTATTTTCACAAAAACAGGTTTTTACTTCAATTTCTCTAGTGAAGTTTTGTATTCAGCCGAATCTAGACAAATCCCTTAGATTAAGAAAAACATCACTTCACTGTGTCTACATTCACATATTATTATAAAAACAGAACAGAAATTAAAACAAAAGTAGAAGTTATAAGAATGAATAAACTTTTTTAAACATGCAAATATGTCTTATAGAAAGTTTCATATGTTGGAAAAGGACAGTCATAAACCTAGGTTGCATATTATATGTCAAGATCAATAAGCAAATCACACCTCAAACTTGCACATCATTATTTTAAAAGCTGGCCCTGATGACTTCCAAGTTATTTAAAATTATAGAAGGATAAGGCAAAAATGCTTTCTAAGCCTGGTCAAATACTTTTGAGTTTCAACTAAGGGCAAATAAGTAGATTTTTGGCATAAAATACAAAGAACATATAAAAATGTTTAAAAGCTTCAAAAGAAAATATTGCCATTTTGTACATTAAGTTTTCATGGGCAATTCCAAGGCAAGCAAAGCAAAGTGTCACACTAGGGACTCTCTTTAGACTGGATAAAGTTGGTTTTCTAAAAACCATGCAAAATAATCTTTATCTTTAAAAAATCAGTCACAAAAGTATATTTATTAGAAGCCAAAGGGCTCTGCCAAAATACTTAAGCTTTTTATATTCTGCCATGTGTGGAAACTCAAAATTACTTTAAAACTGCTTATTAAAAAAAAAAAAAGTAATACAGATAAAATCCTAAAGCCTACAACACATTACTCACCATTAACAATAAGGCAGAATAGTTACAGATCATGACTTTTCACCAAGTTTGCTTGTTAGTGGTTTTAGATAGTAAATTCCTTTCCTACTATCCTCTCCCCACTGCCACAATGAGACAGAAACCTGTACCTCCATCAAAATGGCTAAAATTAAAAGAGCTAACACCACTGAAGTACAGGTAAAAATGTCGAGTAACTGGGGCTCTGTTCACTACCTGTGGGAGTATAAAGGGATATAACATAACCACTTTGTAATACTATTGATAGCATCTATTAAAGCTGAATGTATTCATATTCTAATATACAGCAATTCTGATCCTAGATCTACCCAACAGAAATGAGCATGTATGTTCACCAAAAGACAGGTACAAAATGTTCAGTCACTTTATTCATAATTGCCCAAATCTGGAGTCAACATAAATGGCTATTAATGATGGAATAAATCAATGTATTATATTTACACAACAGAATGTTACACAGCCATGGAACAGAACCAATTATTACTATACAAAACAAGAGACATAACACTGAGTGAAAGAAGCCACCTCTCCCCACCAAAAAAAAAAAAAGCACATACTGAATGTTTCCATTTATATAAAATTCAGGAACTGGCAAACCTAACCTATGGTGTTAGATGTTGGAACAGTGGTTTACCTTTGTTGAAGGAGGAACTGACTAGGAGGGGCATGAGAGAATGTTCTGGGAACTGGGAAGTAGTTACATTTGTCTATACATAACTAAAAATTTAAAAAGTTGTGCGTTTAACTATATGTAAGTTATGCCTCAATAAAAACTAAAAACTCAGATACCCTCTATTCTTCCAGGTTATTAGAACTCTCCTGCTTTGGCCGTCTTTCTCACTGAGTCTATATCCCTTTAACCTATTCTGTACCTCGATAATTCTGATTCATTCATCAAGAATGATGATAATTATAATAGTTAACATAATATTAATGAAAATAAATAACAATAAAGCAACCAATATTCATTTGCAGGAGTGCTTGTGATTATAACATACTATGCTAGATGCTTTATTTACTTGCTAATCCTTAAAACAGTGTCACAAAACCCCCAATTAACAATATTTTATATAATTGAAAAAACTGAGGTTCACAGAAATTAAGTAACTTGATTAATATTAGTAAGTGATAGTATCAGAGCTGATTCAAGCTTAGGTCTAACTAAAATTCATGCTGTTTCTAGGATGCCAGGGTGCCTCTCAAGACCAAGACCACATCTTCTGGGAGGCCTTGCTTTGACTGTGTAAGCATATTAGCTGTCCCCTTCTCTGAGACACATAGCACTTCAAACATATTATCACAATATACTTCAATTACTTGTTTTCATGTAAATGTTCCATAGTTGACTGTGAGTTCCTGAAAAGAAGGTTCTAATCCTTACTCATCCTTTCAAATACAAAAATTTGATAAATTGATCCAAAAATTAATAAAATGGAATCTACTTTCACTTGTAATAGTTTTTAAATATATTAAATATAGCACACCTTCAGAAAAATGCATAAAACATAAATGTAAAATTTAATGTATATAGTTAATATCTGCATAACCACCACCCAAATCAAGAAAAGAGAATAGTCAACATCCCATAAAATACCCCAGTAGCACCATTCTTTTTTCTTTTTTATCCTCACTGGAAGATATGTTTATTGATTTTAGAGAGAGGGAGGGAGGGAGAGAGAGACTAAAAAAAAAAAAGCATCTAAAAAAATTCTTCACTACAATAAAATGACCAACAAGAACTTTTTTACTTTTAACTTTAAAATACATAAAATGCTGCTCACTTCTTTGAAGTACTGAATTCCATTCTACTTCTGAGCTGATAAAACACATTTTAAAGAGCTTTTTATCATGTCTGGTTATAATACAACTGTTGGCTGTATTAAGTGGAATATGGAAGCATCCCTAATAAGTACAATTTTCTCTATTTCAAGAATTAGAAAACAAAGTCAATCATTCACTTTTCCATTCAAACAAAGTGATTCAGAATGATGTTCAATATATCCTTTGACAAGAAAAACTGACAATTCTGCCTTTTATTACCTAACTAAGTAAATACCAAATTTTAAAAAGTGAAATATTCTATTTTTTGAGGGTCACATGATTCCTTAGTATTGGATAGACTTGAGGCAAAAAGGTCAACGTGTTCCAGCAAGCTTGCTGGCTTTAAAAAAAAAAAAGGCACAAGGAGACAGAGACGAATACAGAAATGGAAGTCACATTGTAAAAGCAAGCAGAGAATTTAACATTTTAAAAATTCAGCATATTGTATTTTCAAAGCCACTTCAAACAAAGACAAATACTAAAATTTATATCACTCTGAGAATGTAAGAGAGAAGCATGATAGTAACCTATACTAAGAAGACTAAATACAGATTATGAATGCTATTTAAAGCTTTCACTACTTAGGAAACAATTAAGGGCTATGGTTTCAGAAACACTATTAGAAAAGGAAATGAAATCAGTGAATTTAAAGTAATTTATTTAATTGTCCAGGTAACACCTTCTAAAAGGTGCTTCACTATCATAATGGAATGAATATACTACCTATCAACATGAATATTTGCAACAAGGCAAGAATAAAGGTTAGTGTGAAAATACAATTCAAGTTTAACAAATATAAGGGTGAGAAAAAGATATAGTTAAAGCAAGCACCAGTTTCAGCAAGTATTTTTTCATGAATATTAAAAAAATATTTTTATTTTAAAAGAAAAATGTAACTTACAAGTATTGATATAATTTTGTAGCAGTTTAAAATTTTGAAAAGAAAAATATTATTTATATTTTAAAATATATATCCAGATATGATCAGTT